TAGAAAAACTTTGTGTTTCCTACTGCACGGTCTATTAGCTTACTCTCCAAGCTTTGGCGGCTATTTTGTACCAGCCTCTTTACCCTGTTTCTTTGCACCTTATACTTATTGTGCGACTCGAGGGTCCTCTCTCTGAGATAAGTTTGTCTCATCCTTCGTTTGTGGTTTACTTCTCTCTTTAGTGTGGGCGTTAGTCACCGAGGCCTATCTGTTACTATCTTTACCATGATAGGGCAGAATTCGGTAATTATTCCGTGTAATACGGCTTTGAATACCGATTAATCACCCAGGACGCAGCCGGTGAATGTTTCGTTTCAGTCTATCCTGCTCATTGTGGTTTTCATTTGTGTAAAGTCTCCGCGCCAGATGTTGCGTCTAGTTACCGCACTACGATCAGGCGCAGAGAAGAGTGAATACTCCCACTGTAGTACTACGTACACAAAATATGGTCCCCGCTATGCGACCCTACTCTCTTAACGGAATGCCAATCCGATAATGAGGAACACAGAAAGATATTGGTATTTGGATGACAGGCAACCTAAAGCCTTCTACACAATTTCGTAAGGCGGCTAAAGCTGCAACATCACTGTTGTACGCAATCAAGCGGTACTTACCGTATTCGATGAAGACTGCTTTTCTCAAAGTTTTGGAACATTTATACGGCCATATCTTGAATACGCGATTCAAACCTAGAGACCGTGGACGCAGCGAGATTATAACCTTCTCCAAAGGATGCAGCGGCGGGCCACAAACTTAGTAAGATACCGAGAAGCACTGCCATATGAGATCGCCTAAATAACATTAATCTCTATCCAGAGACTTGATACAAACTTTTCGTATCGTGCGTGGCTTGGACTGCGCCCTCCCATGTGCTGCCCTTTTCCAAATCGCCTCTAAAATTAAGCTCAAGTGATATCCCTTCAAACTACGTGTGCCCCTAGGACGAGCGCATGTGAGGAAGTATTATATCTCTAACCGTGTCGTGTAACCGTGGAATAACCTACTCGAGACGATCGTTATGTGGAGTCATTCAAACACCAAATTGCTCTCCATATACCGCCGCACAACGTGAACTACATGATTAATTAACCTTAAAACACCAGTGCCCTGTACGACTCTGTCTAAATTCCCTGACTGTAATTTCTTTATATTGCTTCAAATTCTTGAGATTTGTATGTGAGAAGTAGGGAGTTCAAAGGCATAAGCCAATTTTTCCTCAGATACTTCGACTGACCGACTGGAACTAATGACTATGCAAAACCCAAATAAGGTTTATTTACAATGTTACTGTGAGGTGATTCGTCCCCACCATTCCGAATCACGCGTGGTCTGGACTGCCATCTTGTACACGTTGAGGTACAGATTGAAAGCGTTGCTCTGTCTTATCGTTAGTTAAATGCACTGCTACTAAAATCGTAATCGGCAGGCATGCTAATGTGCATAGATGTTTTCGGTTTTGACAAAAAGGGGCTGCCGACAGTGCCTTTTGACAACGGGGGTTGATTTATGTTCTGTTTTTAGGGGGAGGGCTGTAAGATAACTATGGACTTCGCAATATTGTCCGACTAAGTATGCTTAGCCATATTAGATTATCAGATAGAATCGGTTGTTGGGATTCAATAACCGATGGTTACATATTCGATGATTCCGTACTTCAAAATGTTAATAAGTAAATTAATTTACATTTAATCATTGCAATTTTACGTAATCGCTAAACAATAATATTCATTGTCGATTGGTGACAAGTTAGGGAAATTTGTCGCTCAGGGGACACTGGAGGTTCGCTAAACATTTTATAACACAATTACTAGGATGCGCCCGCCTTTCAAACTGAGTGCTGCTTCGTCAACTGAATAGCACACTTTAAAATCAGCGCTTGATTTTAAAGACTTTACTTATTACTGTCTCTGCATTTTCTTACTAGTTACCATTTTCCCTACCCGGAGAATCTCTTGTTGCCACTGTTCCCATTTTCCTTGTACACTGGTTTGAGTTTTCTCATTACAACGAAGCATCAAGGGGCATAAACGGCCTTGCCTGTAAACTGACAATATATACATAGAAAGGGAGTCGATACATCACAGAGGATGGTGCCAGTCCCGGCGATGGGTGGAACATCCGCGAACTGGACACTACTAATGGATTCGTCGTCAGGACAGCCTACTAGTTTTTGCTCCGCCGCCACAACACAAAAGTCAATCGCCTAAGATAGTTGAAGTGCAGAGCGAGAAGGTCTAGACAGAAGGTCAGTCACCTCATTCTTTGTGCCACCAATTTAGCGGATACCGGTGGTGAATTGGGAGATGTAGTCCAGATGACCAGTCTCTCTGGGATTGTATTGATGAGTGTGAGCGCAAGACAAATGTTAGTGGCTTATGGCCCGTGAATATGGTACAATCCCGACCTTTGAGGAAGTGTCGAAAATGTTTGATGGCTAGATAACTGGCGAGAACTTCACTACCAAGGGTGCTTTATCTGGTTTTAGCAGGCGAGACTTTCTTCTAAATGTAGGCTAACGGTTAAGTTTGATCGAATAGGTGTTGCTGCGAGAATGCACTTCGGTTATATTCGACGCTTACATCAACGGTTACATCTCCGGTTACAGCAAAGAAAGCTGACCTTCGGGAGCGGGGTACGGAATTTGGGTAGAGTTTACAAGGGAGGCCTTGAATCGCTCCAAAGCAGTCATTTCGTCCCCATAAAGTTCAAGGGGCCTCTTGGTCCAGAAAGCAGGTTGGTGAGCGGAAGCATAAGCTCAGCACAGTTTGGAAGGAACTGGCTATAAAGTTGACCTTGTCAATAGAACCTTGTGACTGACGCTTTGAAGTCGGTAGAAGAAAATCGCGAATGACTTCAATCTTGGATGGGAGGGGACGCAAATCTTCGGAACTGAGAGAGTGGCCAAAACATTTAAGAGAATGCACGCCAAACACACGCGTTAGGGGGGTTGATAATAACACTAAATCTCTAAAAACGGTCGAAGGTCTGAGTTATATGGTCTGCATGTTATTCAGTATTCCCACTAGTCACAAAGAGGCCACCAAAGTAGGCATAAACAAGTGGTAAACCACGTAAGACACGGTCGATTAGCCTCTGAAACGTCTGGGCAGAATTGCATAGGCCAAATGGCATGCGGATGAACCTGAAAAGACCGAACGGTGCGGTAACGGCAGTCTTCGGAACGTCCTCTGGGCCAACCGGAACATGTTGAAAGGCGTGTACCAGATTAATCTTCCAGAAAACTATTTTTGCCGAAGAGGACTCAAGCAAAATCTTGAAAATTGGGTAAGGGATACCGATACAGAGGTGTGACGTTGTTGAGTGCACGGTAGTCGCCACAGGGTCTCCAGGCGCCGGTCGTCGCCCTGGGTATCATGTTAAGAAGAGTTGCCCAGGGGCGGATGGTTGAATGATGCCCAGTTGCGGCATATGTCCAAACTCGGCCTTTGCGGCCTGCAAACGGACCGGAAAAGTCATTTAGGTCTAGCAAACACAGGAGGGTCTGATGTGCGTATGTAGTATACAACATCATGCTGCACTTCGCCTTTGTGAAACTGGGGCTCGAATATTCGCTTCCATTCGTGGGCTTTAATCATCCTTGGGATATTTGCAAAAAAGTTCCTGTAAAGAATAAGCAATCTCCATATCAAGAACAGATGCGTTACAAGAGCTGGTAAAGGGAGAAAAACAGTGAATAGAGGGATCAGTTAAACGGTCAAGAAGAGAGGAACGACGACAACCAACTCGAAGGTTAAATTCAGCTAGGAATTCCGAACCTACGATTGCATGAGGGACATCAGTAGCAAAAGGATCCACGAAACCAACCGCTGAAAACCGCTGTCAATGGTGAGGGAGGGGCCACCAAAATGGGAAATAGGGGAACAGATGGCAGCTTAAATATGTAGACCAAAGACTGGAAGGATGTCTAATGTGAGATAGGCGCAATGGCTGACGGGGTTGCGAAGCCGCCTGCAAACGCCACAGCAAGATTTGGCCCCCTTGACACACACAACAGGATTAACACAACCAAGGGGTCAGAAGGAGCCGTCCCCGCCTGAATCACAATTCACTTATCAGCCACTAAACATACAATACACTCTAAGATGATGATGTGTCTGGTAAGTGCGTCAACTGACAGCCCTCTCAGCCATGTTAAAACACGCTTGTCTCAGGCTCGCATTGCATAGTTTGCGTTGGAGTTACATGCATAAGGAGCTCAGAATCGGACACATACTTACTTACATAGTCCCAGGCATGTCTAAGACAAGTCAGAAAACTACCATAGCTACTAATAGTACTGCTGCGGCCATAACTACTACTAATGCTAATAAAAATGATAAAACTGATGCTGCAAAAAGTTTAACAATACGCAGACTACAATTATAATCTTCTGACAGTAGCATGAACAATTAGGGCTTGCGTCAACCACAGAATCACTGAATACCTGTTTATTCTTAATAACGGAAATACGCACTGATCAGTGCATTCCATTATCGACATTGTGGCAGTTAGACGGTATCTCACATAGAAAATATTTGCTTTACTGTCTTCGACGTGCATTCTGCTAAATTGAAGACCGTAGCTAGAGCGGACTACGGATGCAACACTGGAACTAAAACGTTCTTTCCGTAAAGGCCGGGATGCATGCCGTTCCTATAATCTTTGTAAACGTTATCGCGGATAAGTGTATGAGCACCATAAAAGGCCATTCTAGCCGTTTCAACTGACTTTATACTTCAAAGGGTTGGATAACCACCTTAAAAATTTTCAACGCCATATGTGGTTTGAAGTGATTAGCTAGGACGTTTTCAGGCATATAACCACTTTATAAGTTAGCCTGAAAGTATATGCCCAGTCCATGACCCTGAACATTACCCACAATACTTTATTGCGTAACAAATCGAGATACGATCTTTTTTTCGGAATTTATAGTGAAATGCAAACGATATCCAGTGTAGTTCGAACTTTAAATGCACCACAATTAGCGAGAACTGATTGAAATGTCGGTCCTGGGTGGTGCTGTTCTTGCTAGTTTAAACGTTTCAGCCGCCGACCCCAAAGAACCTGATGTTGAGCCAAGCTCACTTGAACGCGAATTGCAAACCTTTGATGCTCTCAACTCATGGGGCTTATACTATGAGGTATTGCGAATTTATTTTCTCATTATTTCTTCGTAGCAAATTCAAAACGCTTCCTTCCTGAGAACAGATAGTTTAAAAACCTCAGCTGCACGTTTGGCTGAAAATCGCCTTAAAAATAGATACAGGGATATCTGTCCTTGTAAGTTGGCGAATTTTGTCTTTATTTTTTGCAGATGATGAAACGCGAGTTGTTCTCCGTCAATGTTCTAGTGGCGATTATATTAACGCGAGTTATGTGCATATTGACGAAGTTCCCTCCAGGCGGTATATTCTCACCCAAGGTCCTCTGCAACTCACTACTCAGCATTTTTGGCAAATGGTCTGGGAACAGCATTGTCCAGCTATTATTATGCTCAACCGTATTCTCGAGAAGGGCACAATTAAGTGCTTCGCCTACTTTCCCCA